CCGTGTCACTGTGTTCATCATGGCCGTGTCACTGTGTTCATCATGGCCGTGTCACTGTGTTCATCATGGCCGTGTCACTGTGTTCATCATGGCCGTGTCACTGTGTTCATCATGGCCGTGTCACTGTGTTCATCATGGCCGTGTCATTGTGTTCACGATGGCCGTGCCACTGTGTTCATCATGGCCGTGTCACTGTTCATCATGGCCGTGTCACTGTGTTCATGATGGCCGTGTCACTGTGTTCATGATGGCCGTGTCACTGTGTTCATGATGGCCGTGTCACTGTGTTCATGATGGCCGTGTCACTGTGTTCATGATGGCCGTGTCACTGTGTTCATCATGGCCGTGTCACTGTGTTCATGATGGTCGTGTCACTGTGTTCATGATGGCCGTGTCACTGTGGTCACGATGGCCGTGTCACTGTGTTCACGATGGCCGTGTCACTGTGTTCATCATGGCCGTGTCACTGTGTTCACGATGGCCGTGTCACTGTGTTCATCATGGCCGTGTCACTGTGTTCATCATGGCTGTGTCACTGTTTTCATCATGGCCGTGTCACTGTGTTCATCATGGCCGTGTCACTGTGTTCATCATGGCCGTATCACTGTGTTCATCATGGCCGTGTCACTGTGTTCATCATGGCCGTGTCACTGTGTTCATCATGGCCGTGTCACTGTGTTCATCATGGCCGTGTCACTGTGTTCATCATGGCCGTGTCACTGTTCACGATGGCCGTGTCACTGTGTTCATCATGGCCGTGTCACTGTGTTCATCATGGCCGTGTCACTGTGTTCACGATGGCCGTGTCACTGTGTTCACGATGGCCGTGTCGTTGTGTTCATCATGGCCGTGTCACTGTGTTCATCATGGCCGTGTCATTGTGTTCATCATGGCCGTGTCACTGTGTTCACGATGGCCGTGTCATTGTGTTCATCATGGCCGTATCACTGTGTTCATCATGGCCGTGTCACTGTGTTCATCATGGCCGTGTCACTGTGTTCACGATGGCCGTGTCATTGTGTTCATCATGGCCGTGTCACTGTGTTCATCATGGCCGTGTCACTGTGTTCATCATGGCCGTGTCACTGTGTTCACGATGGCCGTGTCACTGTGTTCATCATGGCCGTGTCATTGTGTTCACGATGGCCGTGTCACTGTGTTCATCATGCCGTGTCACTGTGTTCATCATGGCCGTGTCGTTGTGTTCACGATGGCCGTGTCACTGTGTTCATCATGGCCGTGTCATTGTGTTCACGATGGCCGTGTCACTGTGTTTATCATGGCCGTGTCATTGTGTTCATCATGGCCATGTCACTGTGTTCATCATGGCCGTGTCACTGTGTTCAAGATGGCCGTGTCACTGTGTTCACGATGGCCGTGTCACTGTGTTCATGATGGCCGTGTCACTGTGTTCATCATGGCCGTGTCACTGTGTTCACGATGGCCGTGTCACTGTGTTCACGATGGCCGTGTCATTGTGTTCATCATGGCCGTGTCATTGTGTTCATCATGGCCGTGTCACTGTGTTCACGATGGCCGTGTCACTGTGTTCACGATGGCCGTGTCATTGTGTTCATCATGGCCGTGTCATTGTGTTCATCATGGCCGTGTCACTGTGTTCATCATGGTCGTGTCGTTGTGTTCATCATGGCCGTGTCGCTGTGTTCATCATGGCCGTGTCACTGTGTTCATCATGGCCGTGTCACTGTGTTCACGATGGCCGTGTCACTGTTCATCATGGCCGTGTCACTGTGTTCATCATGGCCGTGTCACTGTGTTCACGATGGCCGTGTCACTGTGTTCATCATGGCCGTGTCACTGTGTTCACGATGGCCGTGTCATTGTGTTCATCATGGCCGTGTCACTGTGTTCATCATGGCCGTGTCACTGTGTTCATCATGGCCGTGTCATTGTGTTCACGATGGCCGTGTCATTGTGTTCATCATGGCCGTGTCACTGTGTTCATCATGGCCGTGTCACTGTGTTCACGATGGCCGTGTCACTGTGTTCATCATGGCCGTGTCACTGTGTTCATCATGGCCGTGTCACTGTGTTCATGATGGTCGTGTCATTGTGTTCATCATGGCCGTGTCACTGTGTTCATCATGGCCGTGTCACTGTGTTCATCATGGCCGTGTCACTGTGTTCATGATTGTCGTGTCATTGTGTTCATGATGGTCGTGTCATTGTGTTCATCATGGCCGTGTCACTGTGTTCACGATGGCCGTGTCACTGTGTTCATCATGGCCGTGTCACTGTGTTCACGATGGCCGTGTCACTGTGTTCATCATGCCGTGTCACTGTGTTCATCATGGCCGTGTCACTGTGTTCACAATGGCCGTGTCACTGTGTTCATCATGGTCGTGTCGTTGTGTTCACAATGGCCGTGTCACTGTGTTCATCATGGCCGTGTCACTGTGTTCACAATGGCCGTGTCACTGTGTTCATCATGGCCGTGTCACTGTGTTCATCATGGCCGTGTCACTGTGTTCACAATGGCCGTGTCACTGTGTTCACAATGGCCTTGTCACTGTGTTCACAATGGCCGTGTCACTGTGTTCATCATGGCCGTGTCACTGTGTTCATCATGGCCGTGTCACTGTGTTCATCATGGTCGTGTCGTTGTGTTCACGATGGCCGTGTCATTGTGTTCATCATGGCCGTGTCACTGTGTTCACAATGGCCGTGTCACTGTGTTCATCATGGCCGTGTCACTGTGTTCATCATGCCGTGTCACTGTGTTCATCATGGCCGTGTCACTGTGTTCACAATGGCCGTGTCACTGTGTTCATCATGGCCGTGTCACTGTGTTCACGATGGCCGTGTCACTGTGTTCATCATGGCCGTGTCACTGTGTTCATCATGGCCGTGTCACTGTGTTCATCATGGCCGTGTCACTGTGTTCATCATGGCCGTGTCACTGTGTTCACGATGGCCGTGTCATTGTGTTCACGATGGCCGTGTCACTGTGTTCATCATGGCCGTGTCACTGTGTTCACGATGGCCGTGTCACTGTGTTCATCATGGCCGTGTCACTGTGTTCATCATGGCCGTGTCACTGTGTTCATCATGGTCGTGTCACTGTGTTCATCATGGCCGTGTCACTGTGTTCATCATGGCCGTGTCATTGTGTTCACGATGGCCGTGCCACTGTGTTCATCATGGCCGTGTCACTGTGTTCATCATGGCCGTGTCACTGTGTTCATGATGGCCGTGTCACTGTGTTCATGATGGCCGTGTCACTGTGTTCATGATGGCCGTGTCACTGTGTTCATGATGGCCGTGTCACTGTGTTCATCATGGCCGTGTCACTGTGTTCATGATGGCCGTGTCACTGTGTTCATGATGGCCGTGTCACTGTGTTCACGATGGCCGTGTCACTGTGTTCACGATGGCCGTGTCACTGTGTTCATCATGGCCGTGTCACTGTGTTCACGATGGCCGTGTCACTGTGTTCATCATGGCCGTGTCACTGTGTTCATCATGGCCGTGTCACTGTGTTCATCATGGCCGTGTCACTGTGTTCATCATGGCCGTGTCACTGTGTTCATCATGGCCGTATCACTGTGTTCATCATGGCCGTGTCACTGTGTTCATCATGGCCGTGTCACTGTGTTCATCATGGCCGTGTCACTGTGTTCATCATGGCCGTGTCACTGTGTTCATCATGGCCGTGTCACTGTGTTCACGATGGCCGTGTCACTGTGTTCATCATGGCCGTGTCACTGTGTTCATCATGGCCGTGTCACTGTGTTCACGATGGCCGTGTCACTGTGTTCACGATGGCCGTGTCGTTGTGTTCATCATGGCCGTGTCACTGTGTTCATCATGGCCGTGTCATTGTGTTCATCATGGCCGTGTCACTGTGTTCACGATGGCTGTGTCATTGTGTTCATCATGGCCGTGTCACTGTGTTCATCATGGCCGTGTCACTGTGTTCATCATGGCCGTGTCACTGTGTTCATCATGGCCGTGTCACTGTGTTCACGATGGCCGTGTCATTGTGTTCATCATGGCCGTGTCACTGTGTTCATCATGGCCGTGTCACTCTGTTCATCATGGCCGTGTCATTGTGTTCATCATGGCCGTGTCACTGTTCACGATGGCTGTGTCACTGTGTTCATCATGGCCGTGTCATTGTGTTCACGATGGCCGTGTCACTGTGTTCATCATGGCCGTGTCACTGTGTTCATCATGGCCGTGTCGTTGTGTTCATCATGGCCGTGTCACTGTGTTCATCATGGCCGTGTCACTGTGTTCACCATGGTCGTGTCACTGTGTTCATCATGGCCGTGTCACTGTGTTCATCATGGCCGTGTCACTGTGTTCATCATGGCCGTGTCACTGTGTTCATGATGGCCGTGTCACTGTGTTCATCATGGCCGTGTCACTGTGTTCATCATGGCCGTGTCACTGTTCATCATGCCGTGTCACTGTGTTCATGATGGCCGTGTCACTGTGTTCATCATGCAGTGTCACTGTGTTCATCATGGCCGTGTCACTGTGTTCATCATGGCCGTGTCACTGTGTTCATCATGGCAGTGTCACTGTGTTCATCATGGCCGTGTCACTGTGTTCATGGCAGTGTCACTGTGTTCATCATGGCCATGTCACTGTGTTCATCATGGCCGTGTCACTGTGTTCATCATGGCAGTGTCACTGTGTTCATCATGGTCGTGTCACTGTGTTCATCATGGCCGTGTCACTGTGTTCATCATGGCCGTGTCACTGTGTTCATCATGGCCGTGTTACTGTGTTCATCATGGTCGTGTCACTCGTCCTGGCTCTGCCCACCCACCCCCACGTCGTTGCTACTTGACACGTGGCTGCGTGGGCGGTGTGCTGTCCGTGTCCGTGTGTGTGTGTCCGTGTGTGTGTGTCCGTGTGTGTGTGTGTGTGTCCGTGTGTGTGTGTCCGTGTGTGTGTGTGTGTGTCCGTGTGTGTGTGTGTCCGTGTGTGTGTGTGTGTGTCCGTGCGTGTGTGTGTCCGTGTGTGCACAGAGAAGCGCCTCGCCCACCTACATCGAGGAACAGAAGCAGCTGAAAGCCAGGTGAGCCTCCTCCCCCGCTCCCCCCCCCCCCCCCCACAGACTCGTTAAACCGGCCACCACCGACGCAGGCAATGGGCAATGTCTGTCACGCAAATACAACGACGTGCCGATGCGTTTCTAGTTCAGCACATCGGAGTGTCGGAGAGTCGGGGTTCTCACGCGAAAAAACACGCGTGGTAAATACATCGTTATTACCATGGGATATTGTTGCCAGCGTCAAAGTATGTCAGATAGGAATAGGTTTTACCCTTTCTGGCAATTAAAGCAGGTGTTACGATGTTCAAACAGCAACGTTTTGCGACCTATTCGTATTTTCTATGCCTTGATACTGCCAAAAAGATATCCCACTTCAGTTTTTTCAGTTTCACTATTTAGGTATAGCCCTGTGAGCCATTCGGCTCTTGACTCGGGTGCAACCGCAACAAACAAAAACATGAACAAGAAAACATCTTCAAGTGACTACACGCAATCAGAAAAATCCAGGAAAAAAACAGCAAAAGTCTTCCAGAAAAAGCACCGTACATCAACGCTGCGTGCAAAAATCCCAGTGGGATGCAAGTCAAACAATAACAACCATAAGACAATTTAGATTAAAGTTATCAGGCTAACTCTGTACTACAACAAACAAATATGGCTAATCCAAACGTTTTCGAAATCACCAAAATAAAGCCATAAAAACAATGTAACAGTGATCATAGGAGCTGTGATTGAAATTTAGCAATAAACGATCTACATGACATGTACCACCAAACTGTGCAGCCGTATCTGGCTGCATGAGTCACTCTACAACAGCAGGAGCATCAGTCGGAGTATCGCTGCCCGACCCGAACTCCTCGTGTTCTGGCACTGGTAGTGAGACACTAGTCCAGTACAGAAGGGAGTCTGGTGTCGGCCAATCAGTTTGAAAGGCAATTTAACACGTATGAGGCTTTCGCGATCAATATTATTCATAATCAACGTTTTTGGGTTTAGATCGAGTTATTTATAAATGTGTCGTAACCCTCCACCACCCGACACGGCCAATCAGTAAAAAAGTGTCACGTTGACAAAAGACAAATAGTTCACTGCTTTAGCCCACCGGTGTGTTGAAGCGTGAAACCACAACATTTACAATTTGAGTTGTATGACGTTTCGCTGGAAATTGCATCCAGCATCATCGGGCAATTTGCCAGAATGGTGAGGCTCTGCTCTGTCTCCCGTTCTTCTATAGAGCAATGCATGACTTATCAGAGCATGCTTGTTTGCATGTTCGCTTACAGTACGTGTGGTTAATGCTCACTTGATGAAGGTATCGATTTTGGTGTTAAAACAACTCCTGTTATATTGGCAGAAAGGGTGAAATCTATTTTTATTTTCCCCAAAAGTATTTTATTCACGAAACGATTCGGGTACATGCAGAGGTTATGAAATGGGGGTTAAAATCTAATCTCATCTTTCATCATTTTGGATAATGCCAAGAAAGTTATCCATAGATATCAATTCAGCCGTAAATAATAATAATAATACAGGGACTCCTCTACTTACGAACGAAATTTAGCAATAAACGATCTCCAGGTGTCTCTGTTCGTAAGTCGATTTGTTCATAAGTCGATTTGTTCATAAGTCGAGGAGTGCCTGTGATTGAGAGTGGACTGCAGGCCGATGAAGCCGTGCTCAGGCGTTGGCGAGCGCAAGGAGGCTTGGGGCTGTTTCGGGCTCTGCTGGTGGCCGTAGCCAAAACTACCGCCGCCCCTTCCTCTTTCGACAGCTTCAAAAAGTTCATAGATGACAGCGACGACGACGACGAAGACGACGACGATGCTGGTGGAGGTGGAGATGATGAAGAAGCAGGAGGAGGAGGAGGAGGATTCCTGAAGAAACGCGTCAAGAGCAATGAGGAGAAGGTGAGAAGGTGACCGGGACTCTCGGAGCTCCGAGTCATTCCTCCCCACTCCCGTCACTCCGTCTCCCTCTCGGGCGCTCTCTGCCGCTGGTTGCCATTGCCCTGTGGTTGCCGTTGAGCTTGACCCGATGTCATCGGAGGTGGTGAGTGGCTGTGTGAGTGGGTGAGTGACTGTGTGAGTGGGTGAGTGACTGGGTGAGTGACTGTGTGAGTGGGTGAGTGACTGTGTGAGTGGGTGAGTGGGTGAGTGACTGTGTGAGTGGGTGAGTGGGTGAGTGACTGTGTGAGTGGGTGAGTGGCTGTGTGAGTGGGTGAGTGACTGTGTGAGTGGGTGAGTGACTGTGTGAGTGGGTGAGTGGCTGTGTGAGTGGGTGAGTAACTGTGTGAGTGGGTGAGTGACTGGGTGAGTGACTGTGTGAGTGGGTGAGTGGGTGAGTGACTGTGTGAGTGGGTGAGTGGCTGTGTGAGTGAGTGAGTGACTGTGTGAGTGGGTGAGTGACTGTGTGATTGAGTGGCTGAGTGAGTGGCTGAGTGACTGTGTGAGTGGTGAGTGGGTGAGTGAGTGGGTGAGTGACTGTGTGAGTGGGTGAGTGACTGTGTTAGTGGGTGAGTGACTATGTGAGTGTGTGAGTGGCTATGTGATTGAGTGAGTGACTGTGTGAGTGGGTGAGTGACTGAGTGACTATGTGAGTGGGTGAGTGACTATGTGAGTGGGTGAGTGGCTATGTGAGTGGGTGAGTGACTATGTGAGTGGGTGAGTGGCTGTGTTAGTGGGTGAGTGACTATGTGAGTGTGTGAGTGGCTATGTGATTGAGTGAGTGGCTGTGTGAGTGGGTGAGTGACTGTGTGATTGAGTGGCTGAGTGAGTGGCTGAGTGACTGTGTGAGGGGTGAGTGGGTGAGTGAGTGGGTGAGTGACTGTGAGAGTGGGTGAGTGACTGTGTTAGTGGGTGAGTGACTGAGTGACTATGTGAGTGGGTGAGTGACTATGTGAGTGGGTGAGTAGCTATGTGAGTGGGTGAGTTACTATGTGAGTGGGTGAGTGGCTGTGTGAGTGGGTGAGTGGCTATGTGAGTGGGTGAGTGACTATGTGAGTGGGTGAGTGGCTGTGTGAGTGGGTGAGTGGCTATGTGAGTGGGTGAGTGACTATGTGAGTGGGTGAGTGACTGTGTGAGTGGGTGAGTGACTGTGAGTGGGTGAGGGGCTATGTGAGTGGGTGAGTGACTATGTGAGTGTGTGAGTGGCTATGTGATTGAGTGAGTGACTGTGTGAGTGGGTGAGTGACTGAGTGACTATGTGAGTGGGTGAGTGACTATGTGAGTGGGTGAGTGACTATGTGAGTGGGTGAGTGGCTGTGTGAGTGGGTGAGTGAGTGGGTGAGTGGCTGCGTGAGTGGGTGAGTGACTGTGTGAGTGGGTGACAGTGTGAGTGGCTGTGAGTGGGTGAGTGGCTGTGTGAGTGGGTGAGTGGCTGTGTGAGTGGGTGAGTGGCTGTGTGAGTGGGTGAGTGACTGTGTGAGTGGGTGAGTGGCTGTGTGAGTGGGTGAGTGACTGTGTGAGTGGGTGAGTGACTGTGTGAGTGGGTGAGTGACTGGGTGAGTGACTGTGTGAGTGGGTGAGTGACTGTGTGAGTGGGTGAGTGACTGTGTGAGTGAGTGGGTGAGTGGCTGTGTGAGTGGGTGAGTGACTGTGTGAGTGGGTGAGTGACTGTGTGAGTGGGTGAGTGACTGTGTGAGTGGGTGAGTGACTGTGTGAGTGGGTGAGTGGCTGTGTGAGTGGGTGAGTGGGTGAGTGAGTGGGTGAGTGGCTGTGTGAGTGGGTGAGTGACTGTGTGAGTGGGTGAGTGGGTGAGTGAGTGGGTGAGTGGCTGTGTGAGTGGGTGAGTGACTGTGTGAGTGGGTGAGTGAGTGGGTGAGTGGCTGTGTGAGGGGTGAGTGGCTATGTGAGTGGGTGAGTGGCTGTGTGAGTGGGTGAGTGACTGTGTGAGTGGGTGAGTGACTGTGTGAGTGGGTGAGTGGCTATGTGAGTGGGTGAGTGGCTGTGTGAGTGGGTGAGTGGCTATGTGAGTGGGTGAGTGACTGTGTGAGTGGGTGAGTGGCTGTGTGAGTGGGTGAGTGACTGTGTGATTGAGTGGCTGAGTGAGTGGCTGAGTGACTGTGTGAGGGGTGAGTGGGTGAGTGAGTGGGTGAGTGACTGTGTGAGTGGATGAGTGACTGTGTTAGTGGGTGAGTGACTATGTGAGTGTGTGAGTGGCTGTGTGAGTGGGTGAGTGGCTGTGTGAGTGGGTGAGTAACTGTGTGAGTGGGTGAGTGACTGGGTGAGTGACTGTGTGAGTGGGTGAATGGGTGAGTGACTGTGTGAGTGGGTGAGTGGCTGTGTGAGTGGGTGAGTGACTGTGTGAGTGGGTGAGTGACTGTGTGATTGAGTGGCTGAGTGAGTGGCTGAGTGACTGTGTGAGGGGTGAGTGGGTGAGTGAGTGGGTGAGTGACTGTGTGAGTGGGTGAGTGACTGTGTTAGTGGGTGAGTGACTATGTGAGTGTGTGAGTGGCTATGTGATTGAGTGAGTGACTGTGTGAGTGGGTGAGTGACTGAGTGACTATGTGAGTGGGTGAGTGACTATGTGAGTGGGTGAGTGGCTATGTGAGTGGGTGAGTGACTATGTGAGTGGGTGAGTGGCTGTGTTAGTGGGTGAGTGACTATGTGAGTGTGTGAGTGGCTATGTGATTGAGTGAGTGGCTGTGTGAGTGGGTGAGTGACTGTGTGATTGAGTGGCTGAGTGAGTGGCTGAGTGACTGTGTGAGGGGTGAGTGGGTGAGTGAGTGGGTGAGTGACTGTGTGAGTGGGTGAGTGACTGTGTTAGTGGGTGAGTGACTGAGTGACTATGTGAGTGGGTGAGTTACTATGTGAGTGGGTGAGTGGCTGTGTGAGTGGGTGAGTGGCTATGTGAGTGGGTGAGTGACTATGTGAGTGGGTGAGTGGCTGTGTGAGTGGGTGAGTGGCTATGTGAGTGGGTGAGTGACTATGTGAGTGGGTGAGTGACTGTGTGAGTGGGTGAGTGACTGTGAGTGGGTGAGGGGCTATGTGAGTGGGTGAGTGACTGTGTGAGTGGGTGACAGTGTGAGTGGCTGTGAGTGGGTGAGTGACTGTGTGAGTGGGTGAGTGGCTGTGTGAGTGGGTGAGTGGCTGTGTGAGTGGGTGAGTGACTGTGTGAGTGGGTGAGTGGCTGTGTGAGTGGGTGAGTGACTGTGTGAGTGGGTGAGTGACTGTGTGAGTGGGTGAGTGACTGGGTGAGTGACTGTGTGAGTGGGTGAGTGACTGTGTGAGTGGGTGAGTGACTGGGTGAGTGAGTGGGTGAGTGGCTGTGTGAGTGGGTGAGTGACTGTGTGAGTGGGTGAGTGACTGTGTGAGTGGGTGAGTGACTGTGTGAGTGGGTGAGTGACTGTGTGAGTGGGTGAGTGACTGAGTGACTATGTGAGTGGGTGAGTGACTATGTGAGTGGGTGAGTGACTATGTGAGTGGGTGAGTGGCTGTGTGAGTGGGTGAGTGAGTGGGTGAGTGGCTGCGTGAGTGGGTGAGTGACTGTGTGAGTGGGTGACAGTGTGAGTGGCTGTGAGTGGGTGAGTGACTGTGTGAGTGGGTGAGTGGCTGTGTGAGTGGGTGAGTGGCTGTGTGAGTGGGTGAGTGACTGTGTGAGTGGGTGAGTGGCTGTGTGAGTGGGTGAGTGACTGTGTGAGTGGGTGAGTGACTGTGTGAGTGGGTGAGTGACTGGGTGAGTGACTGTGTGAGTGGGTGAGTGACTGTGTGAGTGGGTGAGTGACTGGGTGAGTGAGTGGGTGAGTGGCTGTGTGAGTGGGTGAGTGACTGTGTGAGTGGGTGAGTGACTGTGTGAGTGGGTGAGTGACTGTGTGAGTGGGTGAGTGACTGTGTGAGTGGGTGAGTGGCTGTGTGAGTGGGTGAGTGGGTGAGTGAGTGGGTGAGTGGCTGTGTGAGTGGGTGAGTGACTGTGTGAGTGGGTGAGTGGGTGAGTGAGTGGGTGAGTGGCTGTGTGAGTGGGTGAGTGACTGTGTGAGTGGGTGAGTGAGTGGGTGAGTGGCTGTGTGAGGGGTGAGTGGCTATGTGAGTGGGTGAGTGGCTGTGTGAGTGGGTGAGTGACTGTGTGAGTGGGTTAATGGCAAGGTGAGTGACTGTGTGAGTGGGTGAGTGGCTGTGTGAGTGGGTGAGTGGCTGTGTGAGTGGGTGAGTGGCTATGTGAGTGGGTGAGTGACTGTGTGAGTGGGTGAGTGGCTGTGTGAGTGGGTGAGTGACTGTGTGATTGAGTGGCTGAGTGAGTGGCTGAGTGACTGTGTGAGGGGTGAGTGGGTGAGTGAGTGGGTGAGTGACTGTGTGAGTGGATGAGTGACTGTGTTAGTGGGTGAGTGACTATGGTAGTGTGTGAGTGGCTATGTGATTGAGGGTGAGTGACTGTGTGAGTGGGTGAGTGACTGATTGACTATGTGAGTGGGTGAGTGGCTATGTGAGTGGGTGAAGTGACTGTGTGAAGTGGGGGAGTGGCTGTGTGAGTGTGTGAGGGGCTATGTGAGTGGGTGAGTGGCTGTGTGAGTGGGGTGAGGGGCTATGTGAGTGGGTGAGTGACTGTGTGAGTGGGTGAGGGGCTATGTGAGTGGTGATGACTGGTGAAGTGGGTGAGTGACTGTGTGAGTGGGACTGTGTGAGTGGGTGAGTGACTGTGTGAGTGGGTGAGTGACTATGTGAGTGGGTGAGTGACTGTGTGAGTGGGTGAGGGGCTATGTGAGTGGGTGAGTGGCTGTGTGAGTGGGTGAGGGGCTATGTGAGTGGTGTGAGTGACTGTGTGAGTGGGTGAGTGACTGTGTGAGTGGGTGAGGGGCTATGTGAGTGGGTGAGTGGCTGTGTGAGTGGGTGAGGGGTATGTGAGTGGGTGAGTGACTGTGTGAGTGGGTGAGTGGCTGTGTGAGTGGGTGACTGTGTGAGTGGGTGAGTGGCTG